GTGCCAAAAAGGGAGCGTGCACGGACACGCACGCTCGTCAGGACTGCAACCAGGAAGATGAATTGCCCAGGGGGCATGCGCGTGCCAGAAAATGAACTTTTGTTTCTGCTGCGCGCATGCGTGCTGGACAGCTAGTCTTCCGGTTACTAGCGCACGCGATGATCAACTGGCTGGAGCGTATGATCACACTGGAAAATGGAAGCTCTTCCAATTTCCCGCACTGCCGCATGGACGAAGGCCAGCTGATCGTTGTGAGGGCATGCGTGCTAGAAACCCAGAAGAGGAACGGGTGATGTCGCACATGCCAGGCAACATAGCTCCATGTGCTACCTCTGGCACACGTGCCATAGGTTCGCCATCATGGTCCTATGTAATTCCTTGTGGATCTGTTGAGCAAACATGTGAAGAACTGGGCTAAATATATCTGAGCAAAGTATGGTGTGTGGCCAAGAGCCTTTTTAATGCTGGTACTAAGACTTTACAGGTAGTCCTCAAAATGCAACCACAACTGAGCCAAAAAATTATATTGCTAAATGAGAAATTTGTTCAGTGAATTCTGCCCTATTTCATGACTTTTCTTGCTACATTTGTTAAGTGAATCACTGCAGTTATTAAATTAGTAACATGGCCGTTAAGTGAATCTGGTTTTCCCATTGCTTATCAGAAGGTTGTAAACGGTGATCACATGATCCNTGTTGGGGGCAATATGCTGACTCTGTAAACCGCTTAGAGAGGGCTGAAAGCCCTATGAAGCGGTATATAAAAATCTGCTATTGCTATTGCTAAGCACTATTAAAAGTCATTAAAACACTTACTACTTCATTATTGTTGATTTGCCATTGGGAAGAGGTAGACGTTTGATTTTTTTCCCCTCCAGGATCAAGATATCTCAGGTTACCTCTAAACTGTACAAACTATACTTCTCTTGACAGATAACAAAAATTTTGCCTAATGCAGGGAATTCCATGATCTACAGAAAACAATATATGGAGTGCAAATTTGTGCTTTAGGCCAGGGGTCACCAACCTTTCGGACCTCAGGGACCACTAAATTCATAACTTTACATTCCATGACCACTAATATGATTTTTAAAAAAAAGATAAATAGTACTTAGTGCAACATAAATAATGCAAATAATTTTTCTGCGGGCCACCAGTGGACCACTAGTTGGTAACTGCTGCTTTAGGCAGAAGAGAGATTTTTCTTTCTTTACATCTCCACAATAACAACTCTGCGAGGTAAGTTGGAATGAGAGAACGGGATTGATTCAAAGTCATTTCCTATGTTTGGGTCTCTGTAGTCCAACACCTTATCCACCAATCCATTTTGGCTCTTCATCAAATGTACACTAAACAGAAATATAACTAGAGAGTCTAGGTGTACCTCCAGAGTGAAATAACCCACTTCACAAGGATGTTATTTTAACATACATCATCAGCCAATGAAGGGTGGCTGTTTTGCAAAGTTTTTCAGAAGAGCATCATCTCTGGCCACACTGACAATTAAGTCATTAAAGGAGAGAGAATGCAGCTCTTCAGTAATTTATTTCAAAATATTTTATACCACTGCATTCTGTGCAGTACACAACAACAACAAAACAGTATCAAGAATACACTATAATGAAGTACAATAAAAGTCCAGGATGAACCACCAGTATAATATAGGCACTGAAGGCTACTTAAAATGAATGACATGTTGGTGTCTTCACTACTGATGGGAAGATATAGATGGGGAATAGTTGAGGATAAGTCACTATTGAGATTGATGAACATCTAGAAATCTTACGTCCCACTTGATAGCAGAAGAGACTGAACTAAGTCTAAATTTCTCTTTCTTTTTCAATAGTAGTATCAAACTATTTTAAATTCTTAACCCTGAGTTGAAAAGACAATTAACAATAATGATGGACTGGCCCAAAAGTGAAGCCTTGGGGAAGGCAGGTCTCTGGATATTTTCCTCAGCCACTATTTTCCTTATCTCCCATCAAATTTTGTACATAGTGGAACTGTGAAGACCTTCTACCTACCAGCTCACCACCATTGCATGTAATATGTGGGAGGTAAGGACCTATCATTTTATAAGATTGCTCAGTCTCTTGTGGCCCTATTTACCAGGATGTCATAGACAGCCCAACCAAAAAGAAAAGAAACAAGTCAAAAAACTTAACCTGCATTGGCAGCTATCTGAGGGAAATCTACATGTGAAAGGACAAAGATGGATTAAGGGATCACACCCTGAGATGTGTTAGTCCACAACCAGGAAAGTGGACTAAGAAAGGCATGCATTAACTATAGACTGTCTTCAAATGTATCTTCATCAATGCCTTAGAAAAGCATGGGTGATAATGTATCTAAAACTGATAGGATTATAATACAAAGTAAGAGGTCTATGGAGGGAAGGTTCTCAGGAGGGGAATTTCTCAGTTGGGTCAAGGTCTTCTCAAAGGTGCTTTTTTAAAAAGGCAGCTGGACTTCCTGATTTTTCTTTAAGTTATTTCACTTCTCATCCAACAAGTTTCCTCAGTTCAAACTAATTGATGGGAAGTCCTTTAAAAAAGTACTATTGGGACCATATAATGCAGGAGGAAAAACCTCTTCCTAAAACTACTTCTGCTATGTTCACCTCCTATGGTGATCAAGCCTTGGGTCTATCGTTTTCTACTCCACTCCCATGTCGGTGGAAGTCTCTTTCCAGTATAATGCAGGGATTCCTACACATGCATTGTGTCTAAAAAGGCTTTAGACTCACATCTTTCCTAATGGCCTCTGAGAATTATCTTATTATCTTATTGTTTTAGAAAATATTTATCCTTTGTCACAAATTGATCATTTAAATTCAAAATAAGCTTTTACAACTTGTTTATATCTCCTATGTTTTAAAGTAACTATTCAATTTTTAGCATGTTGCATACCACCTGTCTAAATGACAGTTATCTTGCATTCAAATATAAATGGACAAAAAAGTAAACTTTATATAGAAGAATATCAGAAGCATTCTTCCATGGTTTCCCCCATATTTTTTAAAAAAGTGGGTGACTTGAAGGGTACCTGGATGCCAAAAAACATAATAATTGTGCAGATTGCCAAAGGACCATTGAGGCTGGAAGCTTCTTTGACCTCAAGTGTTTTTAGTAAATAGATACATGACTACCAGTCAAAAATATTTTTAATCAGACTGTCCTAGCCAGAACAAATTTAAACTGGAGCCAATTGCAAAATAAAAAAAAATGCTATATATCTAGAATTTGAATTGCACATGACTGAATATTTCTATAAAATACTTATATAATGTATTTATATTAAAATATTAGTTACTTCAGTGTTTTGACAATGAAAGCATGAGATGAAATCCTGCAGCAAGAACAGGCCCTGTACAGTAATGCATTCTTGTGGCGTTTCACTTCTGATTTTGGATATATGCCTTGTTCAACTTTATCTGTTCTTGATATGCTGATTATGTATAGGCAGTCTCTGGGTTAGGAATGAGTTCCATTCCTAACACTCTCTTTAACTTGAATTTGTATTTAAGTTTGTACATATGTATACAAATTGACTGCCTATTATTAAAAATGGCGGAAGGAGTTGGTCCTTCCTCGAGCCAATGAAGAGCTGAAGCTACACATGCTTCCAGGAGCTATTGAAAACCAGCTGTACGTTAAAAACATGGATTCAGCAGTTCCTGAAAGCACCATGCAGCTTCAGTGGTTGATCAGGTCAAGGAAAGACAACTCCATCCACCATTTTTAGTAACAGGCAGCCTGTTTTTATGTTTGTATTTAGGGGTTGTCCTTAAATCAGACATTCTTAATCTGGGGATTGCCTATAATAGCAACAAGTCTATTTTGACAGACAAATACTAACTCTATTATGTTCTTGTAAGAAAATTCAAATGGGAAAATAATGGCTTTCTGAGTTTTTAGAACTTCTGCTACACCTATTTTCTTCTCCCAATGTAATAGTTTTCTCATTGGAGAACTAAGGGATCATTTTCACCTTATTCTAAGCAAAGGGGAAGCATGATTTATGGTTTCTCTTCTGCCTCACTTACAATTTCCTCCCAATCTCAAAGTCCAGGGAAATCTACTGCATGACACAATGTCATCACACTTTGATGACATCTGCTACAGATGGTGCGATGACTAATATTGCTCAAGAAGCTTTCATTTTCTTAAACTGGGGCCTTCCAGATCTGTTCAAATTGCAACTCCCAGATAGCTTGACATAAAATCTAGAATGTTGATATCTTAATGCCAATACTTCTGAGGAACAACCAGATGAAGGAAGGTTACAACTGATATTTTAAAAAGGGAAACATCAGATTTCAAATAGAAGTCCTGTGTTTGTTGTGAATTTTTACTTTTTCCTATCTTTATTTATGGTATGTTGACTCCAGGAAATGCTCAGTAAAACAAATCACCAAGGATGCAAACTCATTCTATGAACAGAAGATGCAGAACTGCATTTCATGCATTGTATGAATGTATGTTCCATGTATCTTAGTGAGAAGACTGGGTTGGTGAAAAATCAATAAAGAATATGTGGCATTGGTTGGGGCTGTTCTGTGATGGTCCCTTACAAGGCCACTGGTTTAACTTACAACATCATGAATTTAAAACCATGACAGATTTCATTGTCTCCCTTTCACTTGCTGAAAACAGCTAAGCTTTTCTTACTACGGCAAGTTTTAGTTCCGAAACAAAGCACAAGTGAATCATAACTTTCTGGAAAACATTGAGAATTGGCTAACAGCTGAAAACCAGAGGTTTTGAGTCAAAATCCCCTTCCACAGTGTTATCTTGCCATGAACACAACTTTGCAGATAAGGGAACTGGTGAATTTTCATTCATATATTAAAAGGACTGATGAATCAAACTATTTGCAGCTTAGAAAGCAACTTGCTTTCCAGAGACAGCATAAAAATCATGACATATTTTTGCAGGAAAATTTGACAACATTTTTTTTCTAAAAAGGACAGACACAATACTGAATGCTGGAAAGTACCTGCTTCACCCCGGAGGGCTTTTTCCACTGCAACTCCCCTCTCCTCCAGCTGCCTTTGCTTCTCTTCAACCTGCTCTAATTGTCTTTGGATGATCTATGGAAGGAGAACAATGATCCAATTTGAGATTTTCCCTTTCTAACATTGCAAAGAAAGACATGCTCTTAGCAGTCCCATTTCTACACACCCTATCAGTTGATTCTGCAGGATCACTGTAACATAGTCAAGTGCATATCTATGGCTAGCAACTGCTGAAGTACCTCTCCCTCCCTAGTTTTTACCAGAATGACACTTGGAGATGCAACCACAGAACAATATTCACATCTGGAAAGAAAACTTTTGTATACATAATGATGCAATAATTTATTCTTTCCTTTCTTGGACCTCAGATTTTGTAGGACTTTTACCGTAGTACCCACAATATACTATACTGCCCAACATTAAAGGAAGCAGAGAGATAAAATTTCAAGATGTACTTGAATGACCATCGTCTTCTTTAAGGATTTCATAAATCTGAGGAATATTTTCTTTAAGGNAGATGAAACTCAAGTACCTTGGCCACCTAATGAGAAGAAAGGACTCACTGGAGAAGAGCCTAATTCTGGGAACAATTGAGGGCAAAAGAAGAAGGGAACGACAGAGAATGAGGTGGCTGGATGGAGTCACTAAAGCCGTTGACGTGAACTTAAATAGACTCCAGAGGATGGTAGAGGACAAGAAGGCCTGGAGGAACATTGTCCATGGGGTCGTGATGGGTGGGACACGACTTCGCAATTAAGAACAACAACAATTGATAAGGAACTAAATGATCAGACAAACACTTATGTTTGAAAAAGGACCATATCATCCCTTCCTGCAACAGTGATTCAACTCGGCCTTTTCTAACATCTCAGGTCCCAGTCAATGAAAAGTGCTCTAGAAGCAATCATACTCCTTTTCCCAACACAATAACCTAACTTTTTTTGACTCCTAGTATCTCTCCAGGCAGCGTAGTTGAAACTGGGGATAAGTGATCTGCAGTCAACTACTTCTAAAAAAAAAACCCTGAGGAGCTCCCTATTCTCTGTAACATCTGCTCATCCCACACAGTCTGAAAAAGTCAGCACTTCCAGATCCTGTTGATTAAACCATGCGGCCTAATCCAGGATCCAGGAAATTGGGTTTTTCTGTTAATATCATTCCTTCTCCCCACCCCTCTTGGGATTCATATTCATACCCCGCCTCAATCAGGCCCTAAACTTAACCATTCTTCAAGTGTTGGGTTAAAATGGCTGGTGGAACCCTTCTTGATGTTATATTTTTTTAAATGACTGCTGTCATTTCTGGACTAGAGTTGGGTGTCTTACAGACTGGGATAAATGCAATAAATAAGTAAATGCATACATAAAAGGAAAAGGTTCCCCTTGGACATATGTGCTAGTCGTTCCCGACTCTAGGGGGGCGGTACTCATCTCTGTTTCAAAGCCAAAAAGCCAGCGCTATCCGAAGATGTCTCTGTAGTCATGTGGCTGGCATGACTAAATGCCAAAGGCACACGGAACGCTGTT